TTGCCTTGAATCCGTATAAGCAGGTGTAATGTTGATAGCAAAGACCTGCGTGTAGGCTCACATCTATTTAAGCTGGCACTCGATGGACCTGCGGATGGAGTGAAATCCCCTGAAGTAGAGCCTCTTTCAACCGTCCGATCCATGAAATCGTGAGAAGTAGATAGACTATTGGGTATGCTGCCGAACAGATTTGCTGAATTCTATATAATGGGACAAAACAATATATCAGTCGACATCCGATTTGCCTGAAGTCGATAATGATGTCCTATGCGTTGCGTAACTAGACCTCCGTCCGTCATATTTGCTTAGAACACAACACGTTATTCGAAGAAATTAGGCCCTTTATTCTTATAATTAGGAATGATATTAATGACGCCTACCTCATTTCAATCAACAGATGGCATGAAATCAGGAGAATGTGACACCTATTTAATGATGCTGCCCTACGGATTGGCTGAAGTCCATCCAAGCGGACGTGGCACTACTTCTGTTTAGCATGAACTCAATGTAAATATACGCTTTGAGCTACGTCACTTGACCTACGTTAAATCGGTATGCGTAAGTATAAACACGTTATATTTGACACATTGTTAGCCTTCAATCCGTGTATATGGGTATAATATTGACGACATTGTCCTGCGTATGGACTGAAATCCATCCACTTATTGCTTCATGCAACCAACAGACAGCAAGAAATCCAGAGAAGTAGGCATATTATTAGGTATGCTTCCCAAGAATATGCTGAATTCCATCTAAGTAGGCGTGGCATTACATCAGTTTTCATCCAGATAGCATGAAGTCGATAATAATGGCCTATGAGTTGCGTCAGCTGACCTCGATCAAATCGATATGCATAGACTACATTACGACATTTGACATCCCGTTGGATTTGATTTGGTATAGGTAGGTACAATGTTGATGACACAGACCTGAGGATAGACTGATGTCTATTTAAGTAGTGCTTCAATCAAATATCGGGTAGCAAGAAATCCTATGAGGCAGGCATATAATTGGCTCTGCTGTTATACGGATAGGCTATGGATCAGAAAAGGAGTGCGGTAATCCTAGGCGTCGCAGTCATTAATGTTTGAAATTACCGTGGTTAGACATAACCTTCGACCGCCTTTTGAACGTTGTTGTGGCAACCCGGTTTCACCTTGCACTGCATGTCAAATATGGCATATAAGCAACAAGAACGCTGCCGCCATATCTATGGGCGCAGAATGGAGCTCATATAACTCTACTTTTATAAAAGAGTAAACGCAGCACCTAAAATAATATTTTCGATCTGCTGCTCACATTACGATTGCAACTTTGATGTCTCAGCATGTAAATCCGAGTCTTCACTTGAAACGTGATTTTTACCTCTCGTCGGACACTCCGTAGGCCGAAATACTTTCTCCCATTTCTGACGAGTAAGTCATGACTGCTCAGTGATGTGTGTAAATAGGCTATGCGAGAAGCTTTCGTGGCTCTGCAAAACCCCACGGAGCAAAATGCCAGCTCTTCCTCATTACGTTCAGCCGTTCTATGCATCAACAGCAGTTTCGATTTTGTGTGTCTCATAATCACGCTTCTTTGGTCACCGCATTCCCTTCGCATGGGGCATTTATTTTAAAACAGATGTTTTTTTAAGGACCAGCTAATACAGAGTAAATCTTCATTTAAACCACGGCTGTCAACAGCATCTAGCCCAGTTCAAATTATCGCTGACCCATCGAGACTACTTTAGAAGTGCATACAAATGTCAAAGGTGGGAGAGGAACCAAGACCCAGAATGGGCAAGAAGTGCTTGAGTAGAGAGAAGGTGCTTACTTTCACCAGTTGTCTGTCTGAAAGGTGTTTGATCGTGTCCACGGTCCGGAACCACTGTTTGTGAGAGCCCTCACCATAAAGTTGAGGTAGTGGGTCTGCGTTTTGAGGTCCCTAGCCGTGCTTTGGCCTGCATGCCACCACTTTGGGGATGGGTGGTGCAGAGGCGTGTGGTTGATGTGCGGATAACGGCTAAGCACTGGGATGTTAATAAAAATAGTTAAATTCGTTCACTTTTAAACATTTATTTTTTTTGCAACATTGTGGTTATGATTTGGTTTTGTCTTATTTTTCTTTTTATTGTGTATTTAATTTTGTTTGATTCGTTCACGGTAAGCTGATTGGCCGCTCCGCACTTTTCCGCTTGTCGCTTTTAATGCTTTTC